TCTGCATTAGTGTGGACCATAATGATGCCATGAACTCCACCTTCCCAATCTGTGTCAAAGTCCCTTAATACATAGAAAATAAATCAACACTGACTGCCTGTTTTATTTTATTATTATTATTATTATTTTTAACACTGCTTATTTTAGGGGTACCTGGGTGGCTCAGTTGGTGGAGTGTCTGCCTTTAGCCCAGGTCATGGTCTCAGGTCCTGGGATCAGGCCCTGCATCAGGCTCTCTGCTTAGCAGGGAGTCTGCTTCTTCTCCCTCTGTGATATCTCTTGCTCTCTCTTAAATGAATAAAAACAAAATCTTAGAAAAAACCTGCCTATTTAAAAAAGACATTTGCCTTGCACATACAGACTCTTCTTGAATGATTGGCCTGGGACTCCCAATCCTGTATCTTAGCCTTAGAGTCCCAAGGGGGTAGTGTTAATGGACAGACACCCAGGTATCCTGCTCTCCTGCAGGTAGTAGAGGATTTACAACATGGGAAAGAAGCAGCAGTCTTCAGACATTGAAGAACATTGGCTGTAATTAAAGATTTCTTAAATGTATTGTCTTTCAGTACTTTGAAGATTTTTTGACCTGGGGTTCTAGATCTGTTCTAAACAATTTGTAACTTCTCATTTTATAGGACCACTATCATGGTATGGATTACTTGTACTTTTAAATAAAATTAGTTGATTTTTGTGTTTTACTGAAACTTCCTACTTAATTGCTAACATAAGGGACAAAAGAATACCTTTGAAGAAAAAAAAACCTTGAATTTTAAGAGGGCATATTTAATTTTGCTTACCTTTTATTGAAGTCATTTTTTAAAGGTTTTATTTATTCATTCATGAAAGACACACACACACACACACAGAGAGAGAGAGAGAGGCAGAAACACAGGCAGAGGGAGAAGCAGGCTCCATGCAGGGAGCCCGATGTGGGACTCGATCTCGGGACTCCAGGATCACACCCTGGGCCAAAGGCAGGCGCTAAACCACTAAGCCACCCAGGGACCCCCCTGAATTCTTACATATTTATTCTACTCTAATATTTATACCACAAATTATCCTACAAATTGTTTTCCTGAACTAGCAATTGAAATGATTACAATGTGTATTGAGAGTGTTATGACTGAATGTAAGGATATATATGACTCAGTTGAAAACTGCCATACTCCTGTTCAATGCATCTTTGAACTTATCAGGAGAACAGGCTTTTAACATCAAAATATTCTTTCTTACACATATGTGAACACAGGGATAAATCCATCAGCTTTACACTCCATCAAGATTACATAGAGGTAATGCTGATGTTAAAAGGAGAGGTTGTTATGCAGAATGTGGTCCTAGACCTGCAGGAGTGGCTCTTCATATTAGGTGAAGTCTCCAGGACTTCATTGGACTTCCACCATAGGAGAGCCTCATGTGGCAGGAAGAGCACAAACTTTGAAGTCACTGACTGGGATATTCAGTCCTGGTTCCATCACTTCCTTTTGACTCTAACTCTAAGCAAGCTAATTGACCCTTTTGATCCTTAGTTTCCTTATCTGTAAAGTGGAGAACAGAATACTTCATAGAGGATTATCTGGTATATAGAAAGCAGTTATCAGTTCTCTACCCCAACTCTGATTTTCTGGTAGTGAATGGAAAATCTTAATATTTTCACAGATTCTTCTAAGGCCCAGGGTTCTGGGGTGACTTCCATGGGCTGGAAGAACTACATTGACATATCTGGCCATTGATTCTGGGCTAGGTATTTTCAGGTTTGCTGGACCTGGTTATGTTCCCATCAGTTGTCTTTCAGTGTAATTCTCAATTTCAAGTTACTCCAATATATAGGCGTCCTTCTACTTTTGCAGTTGTTTGCTTTGGGTCTGCTCTGATTTCTGCCCTAGGAAAGAATTCTAGAATCCCAGAAGATGAGAAGTCCTATAGTGTGGGCAGTGACAGAGTCACTTAAAAAAATCAGTTTTAAAAAAAATTTAGTCAGGGGATTGCAAAGGTGAATACTCTGTTCCCAAGTATTTATCGAGTACCTACTTTGTGCCAGGCATGGCTCTGGATGCTGGAGATAAAGCAATGAACAGGTCTTTTGCACATGGAGATTACATTCTCCATTTTAGTGAAGCAGAGATAGGAGGTCAGTATGATAGAATATATAAGGTAAACAATTCCATGGGGAGGATAGTTTATTCATGGGGATAAAATCCTATGAGAAAGCAAAACAATAACATGAGTAACATGGTATGGTTGAAGGAGCAACTTGAGATTTGTGGTAGTGACATTTGAACTAGTAATTCATTACTCTTATTCACGTCCCTTCCCCTTCTTCCTACTGCAGCTTCCAATTTGTCAGTCAAGTATTGCTGCCTTATTTGGTGAGAAGTTGAAGGGAAGAATTGGGGTGATATTAATTTAGAAAGGGGGGATTATTAATGGAGGGGTAGGAAAGTGCCTATGGCTGCTGACTTAACCAAATCTGGTTAAACCTTTATGTCCTGGGCGTGGGGCCAGAGTAGAATCTGTCCCCAGTTAGGAGCAGATTCAATGGGTGGCTCTTTTTTCTTTTTAACTGCAAATATGAGTATCAGGAAAAGCCTACTGAGCTTATGCTAGAAGACAATAGTATGAAAGACTTGTCAGATTAGGGCCCAACTATTTTCTCAAAGCAGAATGAATTATATAATAGCCTTTATGAACAGATGCTCACAACAAAGGATTTAGTACGAGGTGTGTGTGTGTGTGTGTGTGTGTGTGTGTGTGTGTGTTTGCCTTCACACGAGGGGGAGAGAAAAGCCTGCCAAGGGACAGAAGAGATAAAAGTTCAACTGGATAGCATCTAGTTGAAACAAAAAATTTTGTGCACTTATATGCTATATTTTTTTTGGCAGCTTCTTCCTCTTCTTCTGCTTTCTTCTTTTTTGAAGATCACTTACCTTAAATGTTAGTAAGGTGACACTAATTTTAATACTTTAAAAAATTATCAGAATTGTATATACAAACCTGTAAGATGGGACGTCTTTGTAGATGATATTAACAATACTCTAGAACACGATAATGAGTAAGATAACTGCCATTTACATTTCTTGGAGGACAACCCAAGAATGGAATTTTTATGAGGGTAACAAAGAAAAATGAAGCTCTGAAAGTAGACATATAAAGACAAAAGTAAAATATAGAAATAGTTGAATATTAAAGAAAAATGATAGTCTACAATAGGTTATATTTGTGAGGATAGCAAGTAAAGATATTTCCTGTACAAGAGGTAAGGATTCCCTGAACTAATGGAAATGAAGGACATGTATGCTTGTTTTAAGTCTGGGGGCCCTTTTACTTTCTTCTGCGAGTAATAAAGGCAGATTACTTGAAAAGGAAACTTTGAGTTTCCCTTCCTTTTACCTATGAGAGAAGAGAGCATTTACTATTACAGATGCAGTTCTTAGAATCTCACTAGAGGGTGGTGTTGGTTCTAAAACCAGAGGTTGCTAATCTACAGTACATTCATTACAGGGCTGCATTCAATAACAAAAGGTAAACTTGAGCTTTCTGAGTTTTACCTACAGGTAACATCAAGGCTGAAACCCCCCCCCCCCAAGGGCCTTATCCTTTCTTCCATGCTTGCCACCTCAGAGGAGAGAGATAAAGTAGCTGAGATTACAGGAGGAGTTAGTGGCGGGTTCTAATTTGAGCTCCTGCACTAAGTAGTAGACAAGAAACCAAAGCTTCCCAGGCCTTTATCTCATTTGTAAATGATGCCCTAGATGCCCTAGATGATCCCTAAATCTTTTTGCGTCTCTGAAATTCAAACAAATTCTGAGTTTAAAAGGCTGAAGATTTCTGATGTTCTTGGCCCAAAGGAACAGGTATCATCTCAAATTATCAAATTATTACTAATTAAAATATAATTTAATGTTATAAGTAAGGTTTAATATAGATTCGGATATTAAAAAGCCTTTAAACTCAGTCATCATCCTCTGTCCTACTAGAGAACCCCAGAGCCATCCTTTTTTTTTATATCTACCTTTGTACGCTGTGATACTGCATTATCCAAAGATCTCCCTTTTCTTGGTTTAGTAACTTGCTGGAATGGGGCAAAATACGTTTACATAGGATTATCTAGAGAAAGGGGGTTGAACCATTATCACATAGGGATGTTTTAGGATAGAAACTAACTTCTCCGCCTCATCCTGTACGTAACCAACTTCCATCATATGTTTGCTCTGCTAGGAGTCACTCTCCAGAGGGATTTATTTTAAGTTGGTTTAGTTGTCTGTTACCCTCGCCTCTTTTATCTGATTCCCCTTCCTTGTTCCGTTCATTTTCATTGCAGAGTGAACCGAAGATGGTCATTTTATGAAACCCGACTCGAAATGATTCAACTCCATGGCCCCAGGAAGCCCTGGTTTATCTCTACACGGACTTGACCTCAAAGGGTAGGCGCGAGAGCCTGCAAACCCCCGATGGTGCGAAGCTGCGCCCTGTGGCCTCAAACACGTTGACAATTGGGGCTCGACACCCCGTTCCTCCAAATTGCTTTGCCAGGCCCACGGTTTCCCGCCCCCGTCCCGCCCCCGTCCCCGGATTTGGGTGCCCCCTCGGGCTCCTCCCGAACACCCGGACTTCCCCGGGTGTGCACGGAGCGCCGCGCGCTCGCCCCTTCGCTCGGGTCCACGAGCCGCGCTGGGCCGGCTCCCGCCGGCGGAGCACATCCTTCCCCGCTCCGCGCCCGGGCACACCCCTTGGCGGTGGGGATTGGTCGGGCCGACCCCTCCTCGGCGGCGCCGGGCTCCTAAGAGGCTCAGACGCCTGCCAATCCCCACGGGCTGTCAAAACAAGTCTCCCCCCTCTGTCACAACAGAGCGGAGCGGAGGCCGCCGCACTTCCTGGGGCCGCGGCTCCGCCGTCCGCGGGCAGGTGGCGGGGCGCGGGGCGCGGGGCGCGGTGGGGCCGGCCTCCGAGGCCGCCGGGCCGGGCGCCGGTGCCTTTTGTCTGGCGCAGAGCGGGCGCTCGCCCCGCGTGCCGGCCCCTCCCTCTCCTTTCCGCGGCTGCCCGCGGGCGCTCGCGTCTCCTTCCCGGTTCCCGCCGCCGCGCCCCCGCGGACCGCCGGCCTCCCGGACCCGAGCGATGCCTCCTCTGCGCAAAGTTGCCGCCGCCGCCGCCGCCGCCGCGGGGCGCTGAGCAGAGTCCGGCAGGGCCGCCTCCGGGCGAGGAGCGCAGGGCGCCCGGGGCTGGACTCCGCGGCGGGGCGTGTGCCGCCCGCCCCGGAGAGCGCGGCTCGCCGGCCATGGCCCAGGGCGCGGCGGGCAGGGAGGGTCCCGCGCCGCCCGACGCGGCCGGGGGCGAAGACGACCCCCGAGGGGGCCCGGACGCCGCCTGCGGGGAAGGCGTGGCTGCGGCCGCCGGGGGCCGCTGGAGGGACCGCCGCAGCGGGGTCGCGCTGCCCGGCGCTGCGGGGGCCGCGGCTGACAGCGAGGCGGGCCTCCTGGAGGCGGCGCGCGCGACCCCCCGGCGCAGCAGCATCATCAAGGTGAGTGAGGCCGAGCCGCCCGGAGCGGGGCTGCGGGGGCCCTTGGCGCGGGGATCCGCGCGGGGTGCGCGGTGCCCGGGGGCATCGCCGGCTCCGCAGTGTCCCCCCCGCACCCCCCTCGCCAAACCTTCCTTCCTTCCTTCCCCGCCCGGAGGTTCCCAGACCCAGCTCTGGGCCGTGAGAAGCAGAAGTCACTTTTTCTCCCCCGCCCCTGACAGCAGAGGAAAAGTTCCGCTCTGCGTCTTTGCGTTTTGATGGATGCTTTCCCTCATTTTCTCTGAAAGCTTCATTAAACCGTTGGCGGAAGGAGGAAGGAAGGATTCAATGTAAATGCTGACCACGGGATGATTGTGCCCCGCTCCCCAGGGGAAGGGTAGCTGCCACCCACCTCCGGGCCCCCTCCCCCCAGCGCAGTGTAGGAAATGCACGGTTTACCCACAGACCCACCCACCCGAACAGCCCCCTCCCCAAGCCAGAATAACCCTCTAGACCCAAAAGGTCCCGAAATCCGGAGAAGTGTGAACTTTCCCGGTAGACAGTTTTCAGGGGACCCTCCGGCCAAGTGAAGAGCGACGGTGGAGGATAGTTTCTGCAGTGCAGAAGGCGCCGGCGGGAAGCAGTCCGTGCCCCAAGCAGCGTCCCAGGTCTTTGTGGTTGCCACTGCATGCGGGGAGAATGCTTCCCCACCCCTCAACCACCAGACAAGATTTCTCCTCGTCTACTTGGCAAGAAACTTGTAAGCCTTTTCTTTCCCTTATCTCTTTCTGCCTTCCTTCCACTCGGGGCTTGCTTCCTGTTTGAGATTTCATCTTTTGGGTGCATGACATGTGGTAAGGTATCCTGGAAGTCAGAACTCGCCCACAGGCGTTGGAAAAGGGCCTCTTAACATAAACCAATGTGAGTAATCATGTGCATATGAGATTAAAGTTGATTTTGGTAGTCAGTATGAAACTATATATATGGGTGTGTGTGTATGTGTGCGTGTGTGTATCTAGACAGCCAAAGATGATGCTGAAAGATGGACTTGAAACTACTTACTACTTTCAATTTACTTGGTGTGCCTGTACATTCAAGACCCTTGTTCAAGGTGAAGCTGTGTAACAAGCCTCATAATGCATGTCTCTTTCTCAAGCTCAAACTCCCCTTGGCAGTGTGGGAAGACTGTGCCCACAGTACATCCACCCAGCTCCAAGTATTGTCTAGGCTTTTCCCCAACACTGACACATGGAAGTTTAAAACCAACAGGAAGATTTCTATATAAAAAGAAGAGTGGGTGGTAGTTGCAAATGACTTGTAGTAGTTTTTGTTATTTTGTGCCTTTAGATTATGTGAAAAGGAGTGTGCTATTCTGGGTGTGAATTTGGATAAAAAGGAAACGATCACTTTTTCTTCTTTTAACCCACAGGTCAGAAAGCATATTATTTTGAGACTTAAAAAAACAGCACAATTAAGAAACAATTATATTTTGGACTCTAAGATATTGATACTACCTGAGGTCCTGTGTGTGTGAAAACAAACACAGCAAGATAATTTAAAATATACCATCATAAAAAGCAGTGGGCTCTATAGTGTAGTAAAAAATAAAAGTAACAGAGTGTAAGGAATATACAAATTCTTGCAACTAAATTTGCAATTTTTATTTATTTATTATTTTTTTAAGATTTTATTTTTTCATTCATGAGAAACACACACACGCACACACACACACAGAGGCAGAGACACAGGCAGAGGGTGAAGCAGGCTCCATGCAGGGAGCCTGATGCGGGATTTGATCCTAGGTCTCCAGGGCAGCGCTAAACTGCTGAGCCACGGGGGCTGTCCTAAATTTGCAATTTTTAAATTGCATTATGTGCTGGTTTATATTCTCGAAAGGGCCCTTGCTGAGTAAATGTGCCTCTTTTGTTTTAAAGTTTATTTTTGTGGCAAAAAAGAAGGAGGCAACAGATTATCAGCTTGATCTCTCCCCATCTGATAGTAAAATAAGCATGTAATAAATGGCCTTTATAATGAAAGGTACTAGAAAATGACCAAATTGTTATTCTTATTTTAAATTAGATTTTATTGAAAAAGTAATATAAGCATATGATAAAAAAAAATGTTGCAAGGGAGCATGAAAGGAAGACTCCCAGCTACTCCACACTCCCACTTACTAGTCCACCCCCATAGCTGTTAACACTTTCTTAAGTATCCCTCCAGAAATATTCCATGCATATGAAAGCATATATATCTGTATATATATCTATGGTGAGCTATCGATGTTCTTGATTTATATTATAAAATTTTAACTTAGGTTTACAGGCCTCATATTTTCAAATTTGTTCCAAATATTTTTTGATTCCTAGTGGGTTGTTCAAATCATTGTGATATGTCAGCTAATCTTTAGGAATACCTGGAAGGTCATTGATGGGCATGGGTCCTTAGGGTCTGTTTTTAGAGGCCTTCATTCCCTTCCAGTGAGGAAAGAAGCAGGAGATGGGGTTCTGTTCCACACCACCTCTGACATCAAGGACCTTTCTGTGGACATCTTCAATCTGCTGCCCCATGGTTAGTCTACTCTAGCAAAATAAAAAGGAGAGTCTCTAAAAAGGTGTAGATCATATAAGAAATATGTAGCACCTGTTCTATATTGAATGAAAAATGTATTCTTCCGAGTTTGGCCAAAGATTCTTTTTATTTGCATTAAAACATACACAGAAAAGAAAGGCTTTAGTACATTTTATGTTAATCAAACTATTAAATGCTGTTCCAAATAGTCTTAGTATAGTGATAATTCATATTCATGATCATAACTGTGAGCCACTGAAAGATTGTGAAATCATCAAATATTATTTTCAGCTCAATTTAAGGTATTACTTCTATTCTAATTATTTTACTGCTAATTCTCTATTAACTTGAATATTAGACAAATCAGAATAGTCCATTCCTCTATCATGCCAGGAAACAGACTATCTTGTATATTAATAAAAGAAATGTCTTGTATATTAATAAAAAGGATGTTTTCAGTAAATTTGCCCTCTCTAATTTGTGAAAACATGATTTTAGTTGAGAAAACAATTTTCTTCTGAGCTAATGAAAACAATAACAATGTTTATCTTTACACATCTTTGTAAGGTCTTCTTTCTACTATAGTTGTGTTTCTTCCCTTATATGCCAGGTCCTACATTTTAAAAAATTTAATAGGAGACTTAAACTATCTTTTCTGGGGATCCCTGGGTGGCTCAGCGGTTTGGCGCCTGCCTTTGGCCCAGGGCGCGATCCTGGAATCTGGGGATCGAGTCCCACGTCAGGCTCTCGGCATGGAGCCTGCTTCTCCCTCCTGTCTCTCTGCCTCTCTCTCTCTATGTCTATCATAAATAAATAAATAAATCTTTAAAAAAAATAAACTAGGTTTTCTTTAATCCATCAATTTTTTTCCCTGTGTTTTTCCATGTGATTATTTTTGATAGCGTTGACACTGATAAATGCTGCATATTTTTGGTAAGTGCATTGTTGTATACCACAATATTGCAATAGACTGCATCTTAATTGCTTCTTGATGACTTGTGGTTTAAAATGACAAGTTAGTTACATGCAAGACTGATAACATCTAACAATTATGTACTATTCTGCATATGAATATATTTCTGTTTAAGAGATTAGACCGTTTTTCTACCTAATATTTGATGTCAACCTTATAGGTTTAAAATATTTAACACTTTAGATTGTAGTTTATGGCTTTTTAACTCTGTAATGTTTTGGAAATTGGAAGCAGTGTAGCTCATTCCATATACTAGATAATGGGAACTGGGGTACAAACATGTTTTCAGAATAGCAGATGATTTTTCCTCCATTATATGCAACATATTGAAGGGTTCTACTTTTTGCTTTCAATTCCACTTAAGTATGAATTCTCTAGAAGAAATCATCATTTGGGTTTCATGGACATAGGTGTGTGGGATAAAGATGGGAGCTGGGAACGAGGTGCCAATACCTGCACTGAAGCAGCTAAAGTAATCGTTTTTGGGGTGTTTTTTGTGTCATTATTTTATGTCGTGGGCAATTCTCAAAACAACATTTTGTCATGTTTATTATGGGGCTGGTAGAGTGTGTTTCTGAGCCAAAACTTCGAAGATATGTCTTGAGTACCTGTTGACACATGTCAACATTATGATTGTCTTCAGCGGGCAAGATGAATTGTATTCATATTTATCAAGTACCATTTACTATGAGTCAGGCGCTAAACTAGGAGTTTTTATACATTATGTCACTTAATCCTCACAGTAAACCCTCTATAGGATTCATACCCACGTTGCTTAACGCCAGAACTTGTGCTCTTATGCTCTCAGAGGCAGGAAGTCCACAATCTGTGAATACTTTCAATTCACAATCTATGAATACAGTATGAACATTTAAGAGAGTGACGGAAGAGTCTGATTCTTGGGCCTTATGTCATGGGGGAGAAATTATCCTTTCTTTGCTACCATACTTCCCAACCCAGAACACCTCGAAAAAGATGGCTCCAGGAATGGATGGCAAACCTTTCTGTCTTTGGTCATTTTGTGAGGCCAGCACTGTATTTTAAAAGGCAGAGCAATTTGGCAGATGTCCTATTTGTCATCAATAAATGGAGGTCACATCTGTTGTTTTACGCCAGACCACTTCTCCCATGCCCCTATATACAGTCAGGTTTGTGAGGGAGTGTATTCTCTTTTAGACTGATAGAGAAAGGGAAAAAATACCTGGGGCATAGGAATCTGTAGTATTCTAGGAGAGTGATGAAATGGGGAGTTGGAGCTCTGAAAGTATTTTGTATGACAGTTGTGAAGGGTAACTAAGTATGATTGAAAAATAAAAATTTTAGACACACTATAAGTTAAATAGGTTTCTGTAAATTGGCTTGGGAATTAATCAGCATTGATAGACCTTTTTTTTTTTTGCCTGTAGAAATATGTGTTAAAAGTTCCAAGTAGCCAAATTATGGAAATGTGTGTTAAAAGTTCTCAAATAACCAAATTATGGAT